GCTCTGGTTAAAAACATCTCCTGATATTTCGCCGAAGACGTTCTTATTTAGAACACCTTTTTATCGGTAACACTCGTCAATTTTGGTGGATCGGGATGGAGTTCGACGTAAGTCGCTTGGTCATTGGAGAACAGTAATGTTAGTAGCTGGGATACTCAACTGCACGACTTCCAGCTCTAGGCTCCATGCACTGCCGATGATTGACTATGTTGTTCGGTACTTTGCTTAGGGCTATAATAACAAGACTTACCTTATTCTATTGCAGGTAGCTTTGATTTTACTCCCACGCCAGCTAGTGGATCCTACGAAACTAAAGGGAAAACCTAGCGAATTTATACAGAACTTTGAGCTTATTTATTGCGATTGCTGTTGTTACTAATTTTTTTCAAAATAAAAAACTATACTAAAACCATCTGGGAAATGTCAAGAATCAATATGCAAAATTTTAGCAAGATCAGTTAAGTAGTTTTCGCGGTTAGCGATTACAATAGTTTAAGCGATTTTGCTTTATGTATTAGTAAGATAGATTAAAACTTATTTCTTCAACTGCAATTAAAAATATTCATGATGATAAAATTAGTTAAATGTTTTGAAAACAATGATATTTTTTTGTAATACGTATAGCAAGCTATAATATTTTGTTACAATAAATTTTGATTAAAGAATTAAAGATTATTTTGGTAAATTTAAGACCGGATTATTTTAACCAAAAAGTACTATCATAAAAAAATACATCATGTTATGTATTATGATTGAAAGTTGAAATATTAATAAATGTAACGATTTTTAACTCATTGCCATAAACTTTATCAATTGATTTCTTAAGTTTATCAAGTAAAGTTAATTTATTTTTATTGTTTGTTTGTTTCCAAAATTCACCGCTAAATTTATGACTGTATGCCTTCTACTACAAATTAGAAATTCTTGCAATCTCCAAGCTGCTTCCATCGGACCAATACATGTAGCATTAACATCACTATTAATTTTATCAAATATTGTATTGCCTTGGTTTTTTAATTTCTAAATTTCAATGCTTACTCTTTCTCAATTCTTGAATTTTTTTCTCATACCTCAAATAACTTAAATGTGTGACGTCTCCTCCGTAAATGCAAGAGTATAAAAACTCCTGGCACATACTAATATCTTCCTTTTCTCTTTCATCAAGTGCTCTAAAGTAACTGTAAAGGTTAGGGAGTGACTTCTGTTGCATCTTTTAAATGAATGTAAGACTTAGTTCAGTGATTAAGCTGCGTGTTAGAAGCGTACATTTGAAGTAAATATAAGACTTAATTCGGTGTTTAAGCTGCGTAAGAAAAGCTCGAGCAAACTAGGCCACTGTAAACTCACTTAAGAACTGAATCAAAGAGGAACAAAAAAGAAAAGACCTCCGACTTGGATGCAGTCAACCTTGTAAGACCTTGCGACTGCGTGTACCGACGACGAGCGGCTAACCAACGATTATAGAAGTAAGTCAAGTTAAGAAAAACTATACATTATAAAAACACTATAATTGCAAACTTGAGAACTTAATAATTTATATTATTTGTGAGAATCGATTGTTTACAGCTTTTCCAAATTTATTAAATCATTAGATACGACTTAACTTGATTGTTGATTAGATTTATTTTCTTAATTCAAATATTTTAAGATTAAAAAATTGTAGTTGACAGAAACATAGTTTTAGCTTTGATAAATAAATTAAATATACCAACCAAACATTAAATAGATAATGAATAACAAAATCCTTTACAAGAACGTGAAGTAAAGAGATGAATAAAAGATACAAAGAGACGAAGCCAATTTAATTAATATTGAGTTTGGCTTATGTTATATTGCAAGTGATAATCGAATTTAATTATTTAAGAAAATTAGAAGGTAAAATTAGTAAATAAGACTCTCACGTATCGGAATACACGGATTTACAGATGCCTCCATGAGATCATATGCAGCAGTCTTGTACACTCTTGTTGTCACTAAAGATGGTGTTTTTGACACTTGGAGTGGCTGGAACGAAGGTGGCACTCATCAAAACGTTAATATTTCTCGACTCGAGTTGTGTGTTGCTCATCCTCTTGCCACACTTATAAGCCACTATGTGTCCACTGTAAGTTTTGGTGAAGTAGACATTCATATTCAGACTGATTCGAAGAAAGTCTTACATCGGCTTGATTTCGTGGCCGTTTCGTTGGCAAACATTTATAGGAAATCGATGTTCTGACATCATGACTTTGGTACCCCAAGGAAAGTGGCACCACATTGCTACTTAAAGAAATTCTGCTGACTTTACTTCAAGAGGTGTCACCCTTGCCCAATCACTGAACGAAAAGCAATGGTTTAACAGACCAGAATTCCTGAATTTCTTCAAAATCATCTATTCCCAACTGAAGCTGGACGGAATGACTTTGGCTGAGCCCCAACTTTAAATTTGTCAACTTACAAACTCTCAAACGCCTGCCTATAATCACAAAGCTTGAGATCTTTATCGGGCATACAGTTATTGGTCTAAGTTACTGAGAACCGCTGCTTACTGTGTGCGCTTCGTTTATAAATTAATAAATCGATGTGTCATAACTGCTTTTGGATTATTCAACTGAATGACTTAAAACCTCCTGTATAAAAAAGCAAAGACTTGCCTTTTGTCAACCTGTTTGAAACACTTCAACGGTATACTACAATTCTCTAGATGTCTGAATCATCAAGGAAATTAGCCCATTCATTTCTACAATTGTGCACCAATTGACATTTCAACCCACCTTCTGATCCCCATTGTGGAGAACTGTGGGAATCGGTAGTGAAGTCCACCAAATTGTATGTTAAATGAGTCATAAGTGAACAAGTTTTAGCCTTTGTAGAGTTTTTCATCCTTCTTTGTCATATTGAAGCATATATAAACTCAAGACCCCTGATAGCTTTATCAGATGATCTTCAAGATTTGTTCTCTTTGACTCCTGCTCACATTATCAATGCAAAGTCTGCTTATTTGATTCCTGAGCCTACAATTAGAGAAAAGGAGTCACGCCTCTTTGGCACTGGAAACTCTTCTCCTTCTCAATGCAGAGTTTTAGGAAACGCTGGGCTGCTAAATATTTGAGCACGTTACAAGCCAGAAATGGTGTGGTGGCAAAGACCGATGTGAGTCAATGACTTAGTCTTAATAAAATAGGAAAACTATCCTCCTGGTCTTTAGCTCTTCGGTATAATAGTTGAAATACTTAAGGTTCGGATAATCTCATTAGGATAGCTAAAATTTGTACTACTTAACGTTTTCTCACCAGACAAATAGTTAAATTAGTACATTTAATATTTGAGGAAGTGATTGAAATGCCTTCAAGCCAGTAATCAGCTCATGCTGATTTTTTTCATTTTTTCCTTTTTTATGTATATATAAATGAATCAGTAATGGATTTTAATTTTTTCATTACTATTGACCTCAAGTGTTTCTGCTGAAATTAAAGAAGAACAGCATTTTTTGGTTATATGAATCTTTAAAATAATTTAAAATTTATTTTTGTATCGATTACTGAATCTTTTTTTTATGTAAATACAACAAAAAATTTTTTTGTGCGTGTCCCTAGCTTGTACGCATCAACCCAGAAGTATATATTAAATTACATATTTATGTGTGAGAAACGTGTGAGTCACGTTGGGATTGTCTCATCACTGTGTGTGCGCACATCGATTATAGTGAACATGCGCGCACCTAATCTAAATTTAACGTATTCTGCGCCATCGAGTAGTAGCTAGCTCTCGCTCTTGCCAGTGCGCTGCCACTTATCGTACAAGCTGGTCAAGTCGTTTGCCACTCCTCTGCATTCGCTCTTCTCTCCTATCAAGCCAATTACTCTATGTTTATATTGTATAATTAGTAACTCTAATTCTGTTAATTGTTTTATGTATAATAAAATAGAATCTGATCCAAAGTAAATTTAAGAGAAAGTGAACTCTAATTTACTTGTGTAGGAAGTTACCTATGCTTTGTTCCAAAATTCTCTAAGACCCCAGCGATTTTTTCCAGAGCTATTGTCCTTAAATTAATTAACCAAACAAATGGATAAAGTCCATCTATTTGCCTCTTGGGCAGTGTAAAAAATAATTATTACAAAGTGAATATTCAGGTATGTAAATAAAGCCGGTAGAAGGCAGTGGGGTAAATGTATGAAAAATGATAAGTAAAACTAAAAGAAATTATGTTAGCATACTTCTACCAAATTCATACGTATACACGTATATATGTTAACATATTATTTTTTTTTAAATTTATTTCATTAGTAAACTACGATAAGTGTGTGGCTTGATGTCACGGTCTATAATTGTCATTGAAGTTTAGTTATATTCCACAAAAATGGTATGGAGATATGTGGAGGGTAGTAGTGGCAGAAGGGGTCAATAAAAATTCTGCGGGGGGGCTGGTGGGAGGTGTGTGGGTCCCTGGAGGGCTGTGGGGAACTGTGGGGGACGGTTGGAGATCTGGACAGAAAAGAAGCTAACTCGAAATAAGGGAGAAAACGACGAAGTTTTGCATTGTTTTGTATATATATATATGAGCTTGTCTATGTACAAATATATTGTATGAATATAAAGAATAAATCGCTGTACTCATTGTATGCTTCGTCTGTATCAACTCGGGATGTAACTAAGTGAGACCTACGTGCCAATATGACGTAGCGTTCCAAGTTAATACGTTTTTTCCAATAGTAACAATAATTTTTTATTGATTAAAAAAATTTTTTTAAATAACGTTTAATGTACAGTAAAAACAATTAAAATAAATTTAAATATTCCAACTGTTAATAACAATCATATGTGATTAATTATAATCAAACGTAGTTTTTTAATAATCATTTGTTTTAACCTTAAAAATGAAAGATTTTAAGACGTCAGACCTCATCGTTCTATAGATCACACAATCAGGGAATAAAAATCGTTTGAAAAATGGAGTGTAATAACACACTAAATAACTATTAGGAATTCCTTAATTTTTCAAATTGATTTTTGTTTAGGTTCAATCAGCTGCTTAGTATAACACCATCAGATCCAGGAATACTCCGGAAACTGGGAGAACTGTTTGACAGCGTGGGAGATAAGCAGCAAGCATACCAGTATTATAACGAAGTTTGTATATCACCTTTTCTGCTCATAGACATTGATAAAAAATGATGATAAAGTTTTGATAAGATTTTAATGCTTAATGTTTATCAACTATAGGAGTATTCTTAAAGCGTATAAGAGGATTTGTAAGGAATGTATTCACTACACTAAAATTTATTTTAACCATAATGAAAAAAAATCCCAAACCCAGTTCGCATGACAATTTCGATGGAACTTTATCGGAAACTAGCATACTACACTAAAATTTATTTTAAAAAATGGTAAAAAAGTAAAAATATTTTTTTTCAGTACACAATATATTTTATTACAGATAAATGAATATGACAATAGCAAGGTTCAGACGGATTTAGACGCTGGTTCCTCTAATCTAAAGTCTGACATCTTATCGAGATCATCTTATTGATAACTGAAATAGACTTAAAAAAAAAAATTAATTCGATTATGTATAAAGCAAAGTCAAATTTTAGTCTACTTTCATTGCACTTTTAGTATTTTTTCGATTTAAGCAATATTCCATTGAAAGTTGTTTCATTGCACATTTATTGTGTAATCAGTAAGTGAATTAACTGTCGTAATAACTTCTTAATTTTATTTTAACCTACTACTAAAGTAATTCTCCTTACTTAAACCACATTAAAATTTTTACAATGTCTCTTACCAGATTTTAATAATAATTTTTCTTACTTGGGTTATTCTACGATAACTGGCAACTTTTATGAGCCAGAATCAACTAATACTTGAAAATGGATTTTAATTGTTAAAATATATTTTTTGTATTTCTGGAACCAAAACGAGCTAAAACTGTCGGCTCTGCTGGATCTGCATGAAAAAATTTTTCATGACTTTCTTGTTTTACTAAAAAAATAGGAGCATCACGGGCTTTTGCAAAACCTTATTAAAACCGAGATAACGCCTTTGTTATTACATTTTTATCATGAACTTAGTAATAATGTTTGTACTAGTTCCTATCTGAGCCAACAATCTGACACTAAAAAAAGGTACGAGGCGTTACGAGATACGTGAGGGGCTCTTAGCAAACAAAGTGTTACGGATACTTATAAATTTGTTAAAAAATCTATATTGTAATGTACCAAACTGAAATTTAACTTTGCTGTTGTGATTGCATTATATACCAAAGTACTGTTATTTAACCCATCACCTTATAAGTCACTAACAAAACATTTCACTAAAATATACTAGATCCTTTAGCGTTACGGGCTACTGGAAAAAAGGTTATTACGGGCTCTTATGAATGCGTCGAAAAATCGACATTGTTACGCATCAAATGACAATAAAACTTAGCTTATATCACACTAGCAGCCCCCCCCCCCTCGGCTCAGTTTTACCCGAGACTCAATAAATAAAACACCACAGTGTGTTAACATGTAACGTATAACGGTTTTAGTTAAAATTTTACATCTATTCCTGACACTTCCCAGAACACAAATCTTTTTATTAGAAACATATTTGTTCAGAATCCATGCAGTTTATTTTGTCAACTCATAAGCTGTAAAAATTGAAAAAAATTAATTATGCTGAAAAGTACTATGTGTGCCACATGCCATAAAATAATTGTTGGTCTTAAAGGGCCGTTGATTTGCACTATCTCACGTTACAACAGATAAAAAGAGCTATTGATTGAAACTGTAAATATTTAAAACTGACCATGAATATGTAGTTAAAAAATCGTTTTTTCAAATCTGACAACTTTGTTGATGGAGCAAGTAAGTCCTAAAGCTTAATCTTTCTATTTTTTATCGCCACAATAAAAAGCAATACACATATTTCTACTTATTTAAAAATCTGGAAGATTTAAATAATTACAGTCAGGATTATTGATTACTACTATTATTAGTGGAATAACTGTCATAAAACATCTTACCAAATGGACTTTTTATTTGTTAATTTTAACGCTGCTGTTTCAATTTCAACAAATAATCTACGTCAATTTCTTAAGGTCTAAAATTAAATACATTTGAAACATTTGAAGTTTTCCTTCCAATTCACGCTCTTGTGACTATAGGCATGGTTAAAACTTTTGTGAGCCTGAAAGGCTGTTATTTGTCAACTTTGTTAAGTTGTCATATATTTGTTGGCAAAGTTGTTCGACGTCCAATGGCCCTAAAAAGGACCATTACACTGAACTCTTTCTTGACTGAGGTTTCCAGCAAACGTGACTGCCTGGATACCTAAGGGTGATCTTCTCTGGCTTGCTGTTATAGCACCAGACTAATCAGGAAAAAAACTACAACGTATGAAGCGTTAGAACTAGTTGTAAAGCTCTTTCTCATGTCTCCTGTTATAACGCTAGAGACGTTAATGTCTGAAGCACCTTCTTTTTTTGCAGAGCTCAGTCTTTTGGTGATCTAAGGTGGGGAGATTTGTTCGTGATGCTTGCCTGTTGGAGACTGTTCCATTTGCTCAAGTTTATTTTTCCTTCATAGCTGTTAGGTATGCTCAGCGCAGACTTTAAAAAAAATCGGTGATACCTGGTTGAGTGCTTAGTCAAGAGAGTTATATAGAGTCGATGGTCACCAGGATTCCCAGCCTTGCGACGGATATCTCCACTCATAACATCTGCCAGTGAATGACTGACTTATAGGCCAATTAATCAACGAAGGCTCAATGTTAAATTTGACATTAGTGTTATCAGAAAACAAAAAATACGTTGATAGAGAAGAAAATGATTCAAGAACCATAGCGCTTTGTTTTTTCGGTTATTCAGTGGCTGAGTTAACCTAAAAAATTCGTGAAAGTCCGAAAATCACTTTTTTCGCGTTTGAAAAAAAAGTTGACCTCCAATGCCAAAAACTTAAATGACAAAGTTGTGGATCTTAAAAAAACCTATCGATTGACGTGCGTTGAATATAATTTGAATGCGTAGTTGCTGAGAAAACTTGAAAAAACCATCGAAAATCGTCTTTTTTTAATTTGTTAATAACTTTTTTTCTTTTGAGATTTTAAAGTTGGTATTTGGTCAAATTATGAGTTTTTGGTTTACAAACCTTTCCGTTGGTTTTTTTAGCCAAAAACATTAAAAAATTTTTGAAATATCGCATTTTTTCGAAAAAAAACACCTTTCGTAAAAACTTCAATAGACGTCAGGAAATAATGCTGGAGCGATTTTTCAGGGCTTAATCTCTTCGTCTAGACTTATTCTATCATGCAATGTTTGTAGTAAGTAAAATTTTTTAATTTTTGATGCCGAAATCGGACTCCGAAAAAAGTACTTTTTTTTTCTATCGGTTTTTTGCATTTTTTTTACGTATTTTGATAATTGCACGTATATAACTAACTGCAATGCATTTGTACTTATTTTTTTACGAATTAAAAAAAAAAAATTTTCATGATACGACCATGTGGAGCCAAGTTAGGTTTTTTTTAAAAAAAAAATCCCTATGCGACGGTGAAAAGCGTAGAACTCTGAAACTTGCACACTTTACTAAAAAATACCCATTTTGCATTAAAAAAATTATTCGCAATCGTTAACTTTAGCGGCCCGATGGGTACGATAACGTTACAGTTGAGTCTTTTTTCGCGTCGCGCATCGACTGCCCGCTGGTATGAGGTGTGTCTGGCTGGTTGCTCTTACTCGGGCGCTCTGATACGGCTCCGAAATGGAGTTGGAGTGGTGAGAGAAAGATGCTCTCCCCTCATGCAGCTGCTCCGGACCGTGAGTCTCTGTAGTACATTAGTGCAGAAATGAACGTGCTTAACGAAACATCTCAGTGTGCTCGCAGGAAACACGTGCTTGAACGTTCGGTGTTGTATTAACACATACTGTTAACACAAAATTCAGTACTGTAAGCTGTTAAGCTATTCGTAAGTACAATATAATTTTCGTTTAATTTTAAACCGTTATTATTATTCTGTACAACAATATTTTAGATGTATTTTTATTTTATTTTAAATATGAGTAGTGAAAAACTACTGAATTTTGATGGTTATGGGCGTTTCTTTCACGTAGTTTATATAACGACGCTTGTATGATATCGATCTTGTATCATTCAAGAACATAAAGATGCTTACTGATAAGTGCACGTGTTCATAGTTTATTGTTTTCTTTTAGATTTTTGTGGTAAGCACTACATCACTGCTGAAATTATATAAATCGGTACTACAAACACCGATCAACAGATGATACTTGATGGATTAATGGATACAGGCTTTTGGTGGATGTTTCGTTAGCTACTTTTGGCGGCTTTTGGTAAGTGTTATGTATAGCGATCTTTAACGCGTTCAATTTCTGTACGATCGTTTGAATGCATGTATATACGTATGTTAGCGGAAATGTTCGTATGTGCGTGCGTGCGTGCAACTACAAAAGTGGTTGGGAAATGACATTGAACCAACTCTTTGGGGATGGAAGTTATCGAACAACGTAATTCTACCCAACTATACCGACGAAGCCCTAGTACCGGATGAAATATTAAAAATAATTGCATGTGGGTGCGAAGGTTCTTGCAAAACAAAAAATTGTAGTTGTTTCAAGCACGGTCTGAAGTGTTCCAATGTATGTGCTCATTGCCAGGACTCGCAGTGCACAAATTTTGAAGAAGTAGATCATGCTATCTCACATGAGCAGTCTTTCGTGGAGAATACGGATATTGGCGATGTAAGTATTGGACAATTTCCAATTAATGAAGACATGTTTTGCAATTTGCAAATACCGGCTTTTAATGATCCAGTACTGGAATGTACCATGGATCATGAAGAAAACGAGGATGTGCTTGATGACATTACTGAGCAACCCTATAAGAAGGTGCGAACATATAATATGAATTAGTTTTACTTTTTTTAAAAGAATTTGTATTATTGAATAAAAAAAAAGAATTAAAANTAAAGGGAGATATTCATAATTATTTGCATGCCTTGAGTTTTTGTTTACATGCCAATTCAACATGGCGTCTTATGGGAAACCGCGGAGCTGTCTGTATATTATCATTCATATCGTTGCTAATATAGGATAGGTTCTGATGCCCTTTGGACAGTAGAAAGATAATTAAATGACAATTATATATTCGCTTTCAAAACCTTCCAAGGGTACT